TCATTAAACCACATAAATCAATTTAAACAGCTTTATTCATTCAATATTCTTACAATATTAATAACGTTTCTAATACATTTTCATTGTTTTAACTATTTTCTTTGCTTAAATGCACTAATAAGATTTTTATAACTTTTAGAGAATAACTTAATAATTCTCTTTAACAATGAAAATTATACAAGACATAACGCAACTCACGATAGTTTCTATGCTATCGATTTATCTATTGCATTTGCATTATTAGGAAAATCAATATTTTAGTCCGCCCAAACATCATATAACAGCAATGACCATTGGCCAATAATCGTAAATCTACTCAAATCCCAACTAATATAAAAATCAATTTCCAAATGACTTCTGCAAAATCCGAACTGCTCCTTCTCCTCTAAAATGGTCGAAAATGTATGAACAACCAAACAATTTGAAAACCTTCTTCAACCAAATTTCTTAACTGATGTAGACAATATAGTTGAAACTTTCTCAAATATAATCACCGAAGCCGCTGAATACACAATAGGTAAAAATCAACCATCTTTTCAAAAATAAAAAAATCCCTGGTGGAATGAAAATTATGAATTGGCTATTAAAAACTACAAGAAAACACCAAATCGCTTCTGGAAAACGAAATTTCAATCAAATCACATAATTCAGAGCAATTTCATGACAAACAATAACAGTAAAATCGAATAATGGAAAAATTGCACATCCAGTACTAATTATAAAACAATCACACGTTTAATGTGGTCAAAAATCAACAGCATAAAAGGAAAAAACAAATTCAAATAAAAACAACAAATTTCAATGACAAAACGTTAATAGACAAAAAAGAAATTGCAAACGCCTTTGAACTTTTTTTTTAGTTGAACAACAGCAATGAAAACTATAATAAAGATTTCGTTACTCTAAAAATAATAGTTGAAGCTAATTCTTCTTCTTCTTCGATAGTTCGATTTCGAACGTCGTGACCATTTAGTTTATACAAGCGTACGATTATTACTAATATTTCTACAAACTTCCCGGTCTTGTATCGTATGATTTCTGCTATTGACTTGATTCCTACTAAATCTTTGATTTTATCAATAAACCGACTAGGAGGACATTCTCTATTTTTTTGCCTTGCATTTTTTCTTGAATAATTATTTTTTCTAGGCCATCTCGTCTTATGACATGACCAAAATATTTTAGGATTTGACGTTGTATTGAAGGGAAGAGTCGTTTGTTTTCTTGTATTCTCAATTCTTCTAATATTGATGCATTTGTTCTGTAATCTGTCCATGGAGTACGCATCATTTTTCGATATGATGACATTTCAAAAGATTCTATTCTTTTTCTGCAAGATGCATTGATAGTCCATGATTCTGAGCCATATATCGCTATAGAAAAGATCAGCGTTTTCATCAGATATATCTTTATTTCTTTCCTTATGTTATGGTTTTTACATATCCTAGACAGTTTAATAATAGCTTACCCGGCCATCCTTAGTCTGCGTTTTATTTCCTCCTCAGAACCACCTTTGCTTGATATGCGTGCTCCTAAGTAAATTACATTTTCTTTACGTTCTATATCTGGGATTAATTCGAAGTGGACGGGTAGAATTTCCGCTTTATCTACCATCATTATTGAACACTTTGCTCTGTTTAGTTCGAGACTAGCATCCGCACTAGACCCCTCTACTTTTTCAAGAAAAATAGCCATTTCACTTTCGGTGCTAGCTAATAAAACCATATCATCAGCATAACGAAAGTTAGAAATCTTAATACCACCAATGGATAAACCTCCATTCCAGTTTTCTGTGGTTTTTCTCATGATCCACTCTCCATAAATATTGAATAAGAGTGGCGATAGAATATAGCTTTGTCTTACGCCTTGTTCCACGTGGAAACTCTCTGATAGTTCTGATTCGACATGAACGTATGCCAAGTTATTGACATAAATATTTTTTATTAGAATTATAAGATGAGCTGGAACACCCATTTCCTCTAGAATATGTCACAGTAAACTTAATTTAATAGTGTCAAACGCTTTGGTGTGATCTAGAAAACATAATATAGCTGGAGCATTATATTCATACAGTTTTTTTATCAGTTGTCTGATGTTAATGAGTTGGTCTCTTGTCTCTCTTCCAGACATGAAACCTGATTGCTCCGGTGATATTTGGTTGAGTAGGTATGGCTTTAGTCTTTCTTGTATTACGTATAGCATAATTCTGCTGGTATGCGGTATTAAGGCTATCGTTCTGAAATTATTGCAGTTTTCTTTGTCTCCTTTTTTTGTGAATTGGGATGTAGATAGATCCATACCATTCTTTGGGCCATTCACGAGTATTCCATACCTTATTACGTATTTCGTATATTACATCAATGCCTTTTTCATCAGTAGCCTTAATCATCTCAGCCACAATGTTATCTATGCCGGGTGACTTGTGATTTTGAATTGCTGTAGTAATTTCGTTTTTCATTAAGGATGGTTCTGAATTTACCCATTTTTATTGATACTAGGTCATTAGATGTCATAAGTTTTTCACAGTATTGTTTCCAACGTTTTATTATTTCTGGTTTTGTCATTAGTGCTAGGCCATTTTCATCTTTTACAGGTAAGTGACGTGGTTTGAAATTTCTTGTTAGAGTCGACATTGTTTTAAAAATCTTTCTGGGTTCTGCATTATTTGCGTGTTCAATTTCTCGGCAGATAGATTGTACATAGTCATTCTTGTACTTCCGTAAAGCTCGGTTAATTATCCGACTTAAGCGGTTGTATTCGAGTATTTGATGTTCGTCTCTGATACCACTTACTTTGTGATTTTGTCGTTTTCTGATCAATTCCTACATGTTTCTTATTATCCATGGTTTCTTTGGGTGGTCTCTGTGGGACATACTTTTAGAAGAGTTTATCATTGCTTCTTTGAATTATTGCCATAATTTTTCTGCACTGTATGCCTCACTACGTTGCATTGTCCTATGTTTAAGAGCCTTAGTTACCTCTCTTGAGTAATGATCAGTTGATTCTGAGTCCCACCTAAAGGGTTTTTGTTTTGATTTTGGGTTTTTTTGTAACTTTAGGCATACTTCTGCATCAAGGGCATTATGATCGCTTCCACAATCCATACCCGGATATGTATTAACATCCCTTATTGATAATTTCCACCTGTTCCTCAATAGGATGTAGTCAATCTGATTTCTATACTGTCCACATGGTGATTGCCATGTATATAATCGACGTATATGATGCTCGAAGTTGCTGTTTGCTATAAATAAATTGTTCTCTGCACAAAAGTCCAGAAGTAATTCTCCTCGTTCATTTCTCATTCCTGTCCCATACTTTCCTACTATGTTTCTCAAATGTTCAACAGCGTTGGTATTGCCTATTTTTGCGTTGAAATCGCCAATTATTAGGAGTATCTATCTGTTTGGAATCATTCTTACCACTTCGGTTAGCTGTTGATAGAATTCTTCTATTTCTTTTCCAGTTGATGATGAAGTAGGTGCATATACCTGAATAACATTTATATTTACTGGAGTTGCTCGCAGTTTTACTGAAAGTATTCAGTTATTATATGTACTGTATCCTATCACTGTATTCTTTATGTGTTTGTTTACAATTATTGCCACACCATTTATAGATTCTTGTTCATTACCTGATGATATTACTAGATTGATGTTGATGTTGTAAAATGATCTATTTCTTTCCAGTGTGTTTCTGATAGTCCTGTAATTGCAATGTTGTTGACATTATTTTTTACTATCGTTAATTCACCAATCAAATATAAAGCTGATAACCCAGACTACTCAATAAATTTTCCCCTTACGATCATTGAACTAAACACTTTATTGAAAAAAATAGAAGAGCAACGGAACCGATGGAATTCCTTTTTCTTTTCTTTAAAATTTGTTTTAAACATCTCTAAACATTTTACTTCAAATCTTTATCCGGATCAATAAACTTTTCCTCAATCAATAGAAAAAATCACACATTATTTATATTCCTAAACTTGGAAAATGCCCTTTTAAATCACAATTATATATCAATATCCTTTCTAAACTATATGAGCAAAATGCTCGAAACCATTATAACTCCAGATTCACATGGCATTTAGAAACACGAAACCTTTTTCATTACATAAATTTGGCTTTCACAAAAATCGATCAATCATAGATTCGTTAACAACAATTCATATCAACATACGCGAGGTACTAGAATAAAATTATAATTTATTAATGATATCCCTAGATATCACGAAAGTATATGACACAGTATGGAAACAAATGGTTCTTTCTATACTCCAAAAATGGAATCTTAAAGTCAACATTCTCACATTTATTCATAAATTTCTGACAGGCAGAAACTTCGAGGTTAAAGTCAAATATACTTTATCATCGACTTTTGAAACTGAAAATGGATTGCCACAAGGGTATTCATTAAGTTTAACAATATTTTTTATATCTATCAATGATATCAGCAAATACATAACACTACCTGTTAAAACTATATTATACGCTGAAAACTGTAACTTATACTGATCAGAATCAAATATCAAAACTACAAGCTTACTTATACAAAAATACAATTAATAATATCAGTCAATAGTCAGTAGTGACAGGAATCTCAAAATGCCAATCCATTTTATTCAATCAATAAAAAAAAAATCAAAGCATCAGAGATAAAAATGTAAGGAGTAACTCTCCTCAATACAAAAAGTCTCCGCATATTAAGCCTAACATTAAACCACAATTTTATTCGGAAAGAACATAAAAAAAATTAAAAACAATTTCTTCCAAAACACTGAATATAATTGAATTCGTTAGCTATTTTTAAAGGGAAGGTGACCCCAAAACAATGCTAATCCTTTTTAATTTCTTGATAAAATCAAAATTAGACTATGGATCAACAATTTACACCCTTACCAACAATAATACTTTTTATAATAATAATACATTTACAATAATAATTTTTTATAATTTTAATCATTTCTATTATTTATTTTAAGTAAAAATGTCTAATAACTATCTAATAAATTGTTCAAAATTTAGTCCATCATTCTCCATGCATGATTGAAGTCGACGAATCATTTCTATTTGAGTAGCTGCTAATATCTGTTTCTTTGTAAGTTCTGCAAAAGAATTTACGATTTTATTTTTAAGATCTTGAACATTTAAAGGTGGAGTTGTATACACTACATTCTTCAAATGCCCCCACAGAAAAAAATCTAATAGCGTGAGATCTGGAGATCTCGGTGGCCATGCTACTGCTTCGTATGTACAAATCCATCGATTGCCTAATTTATTTTGTAAATACTCTCTTAAAACAATTGTATTATGTGCAGGCACTCCATCTTGTTGAAAAAATACATTATTTCTAATCTCTAATGGAATATTGTCCATGTATGTAGGTAAAACATCGGTTAAAAACTCCAAGTATTTTCTCCCAGTAAGTGTACCATCGTAAAAATACGGAACGCAAAGTCTTCCATCGAGTAGCCCACATCAAACGTTACTTTCCCAAACTGTTTGGTGATTTGTACCAGTCTTCCAATATGGATTGTGATCAGCCCAATACCGGTTATTTTGTTTATTAATCATACCGTTGTTGATAAACTTAGATTCGTCGGTCCAACAGATAAATTGTAAAAAATTAGGATCGTCGTGTAATTGCACCATAAAACATGCAATAAATATAAGTCTACGATTAGAATTACCTGGTACCAACTTTTGTACTAAATCAGGCCTATACGGGTGTAGTTTATTTTTTTTTCAAAATTTTATGAACTTTTTTAATAGATATTCCAATTTCGTTGCTTAAATGCCTAATCGAAGATCGAGGGTTTAATTGAACATATGCTAATACCTGAGATTCGTCCTGTATGTTTGCCTCTCCAATCACCTGTCTTTGATTTCGCCGATAAATACCTTGTCTTGCAGGTAGCTTACCACTATTTCTCAAAAACAATTCAATTCGGACAAAGTAATTGTAAGGAGGGTGATATCGTTCAGGATATCGTTCTGCATAAAGTCTAGCGGTATTCCGTGAATTACGCTGATATTCACCATAAACTAAAAGCAAATAAACTTTTTCATTGTTACTTGCCATTTTTAAATTTTAATGAAATACGTGCATTACATACGAGTTTAAAACTTGTAATGACTTTCAATAACAACATTTAATCAAATATTATAATTTATCAGTTATAATAAACAGTGTTGGGACTTATCTAGATGAATTATCTAGATAGATTTTTTGTCACCTTTTATCTTATCTAGATAAATAACGCTAAGTTATCTAATTACTTATCTAAGATAACATTTTTACTTATCTAGATAATTATCTGTATTTTTGCCAAGGTTAGAGTTATTTTTATTCTTGTACGGAGATGAATCCAACAAATCAGAGATCATCGAAATCGGTCCAGCCGTTCTTGAATTATAAATTCTGTAAATAACCTAACTTTCTTTTATACATATAGATTTTGTATTCATAATCATAATTTGTGTATTATTTATAAGTAATTATTATTTCTTGGTATGACATTTTGTTTGTATTTTCATGTCGGGAAAATATTTTTGGTATTTTTAAACTTAATTTCTTATTTTTCCACGGAAGTTCCAAATATAGTAGGTATTTGATTTTAGTATATACTACATGTATATTTATTGTTACATATTCATACTCTGAATAGTCGTTACTTCACTCTTGGAACTCGTAAAGTCGTAACTACTTATGGAATAATGAAAAATCATCAAATTAATATTATATGGAAAACAATATTGTTAACTTAAAATAATTTTTTATGTATTCTGTATTCATCCTGATACGTACAGAGCAATTTTAATTTTTTTTTTTTTTATGTAACATTTTAGTGATTAACTATCATATTGTAATTATCATATCATATTGTATATTATATATAAATACTGCTTAATGGTACACTGCATTACTACAATAAACATTAAAACCTAGGTACCTATTGATAATAATGATTATAATTGAGTCTTCTTAGATATTATTAGAATATGAAATATTAACCAAAAACTAACATTTTTTGAAAATATCTTTTTTTTTATCTAGATAAATTTTGCTTTATCTATTCCTAACACTGATAATAAATTATTTTTGTCAGATTTATATGAATTTTAAGATAATATCTTTCTTAGCACACGATAAATAAATTTCGTTTATTTGAGTAAAGGCTACAAATAAAATAATCTTAGAGATTACAAGTAATTACCCACATGTATCACGAAAAATAACAATAAATGATAAAATTAATAATTGAAATTGCAACTTTAATAGATTTCAAATTTCATAATAATTCATAAAATTCTAGTATGATTGTGGAAAAATTCAATAATATTAATCGAAACTTTTACCTACTCGTTGTCATTTGGTCAATTTTGATTTTAGAGCTATGGTAAAAAGAACCAAATTGACTTAAAAAAATTCGATCTATCTGAATTTGGCATTCAAAACACCTGTTGCCATTTAAAAAAATGCAAGTTGCATTGCGCATGCGCACATTAAAAGATCTAAAAATGTAAAAATCATCAATAAATGTGTATTTTATATTCCCTATCTCTTCCCGAAAACCACATATCAATCTGATATCACTGGACAGAATTATTTAGTGTTACCTTTAAAAAGAAATACTCTGTATAGTATAAACATCAAACCTGGGGTTTTCATTTATTTTCATGAAAATGTATATATACATTTAGTAATGATGACTGATAGCATAGGCGTGTCCAGACCTTGGTGGCCGGGGAGGCACAAGACATTTTAAAACAGCAATACTTATTATTTTTAATAATAAAGGTTTTATATAGATATCAGATTTTTTTTTTTTAACATAAATTACGACTGAAAGCTATCATTAGCATGTCAAAATAATACAATAAACCCACACGAATTAAAAGTAAAAAACAATATTATTAATTATATAATGTATAGATTAATTACAATATAATTTATAGATTATTGATAAACATAATGTTAACTGTTTATAAATCCATTCTCTTCTCACATAGTTTTAATATTTTAAAACACTCAATAACATCATCAAAGTTTATATTTCTTGCCAATTCTTGTTCGATACTGATAGTTAATAAACCATCCAGGCGATCTTGATTCATAGTTCTCCTCAATTTTGTTTTTACAAGACTTAATTTGGAAAAACTCCTTTCGCAAGATAGCTTGTAACTGGTATAGTTACAAATATTTTAAAAGCTTTAAAAACATTTTAAAATAAATCCTCTCTACCATTCTCAGTTATCCACTTAATCCACTCGTTACAATTTTTTCCTTTTGGATTTGAATTAGTTTGTTTTATCAAACGAATTTCAGTTTCTAACTAATACTGCTTCAATTCAAAGATATTACACAAATTCACTATGTCATCTTGGCTTGTTTCTAGTTCTACTAAGTAACCGATACTAATTATCATGATTAATGTTTCTTGATTAAACCTGGTCTATACCATTAATCATTTTATCTATCATAGGTAAAAACACACATATCTTCATTTCTTGCTCATTATTCATTATATGTTGAGTATCGTAAGATTTGTCAATTTTAGAAGATACTTTTCTTTTTTTACTTCTGGTATTTGAATATTATTAATTTCACACATGTTAATGGTTTCTTTAAAAATACTTTGAAAAACACTTTCAGTATTTCTTAATGATAATAGTAAATGTTTGAGTGAGGTAACCAAGTTTACAGCTGTTAACAAATTTAAATCCGGAGATTGCAAATATGTACCTACCTTCAACACTAAATTTAAAATAGTATTTTACATCTGCATTGCAAAAATAAATTCAAATATTTTCATTTAGTACAAAATGCCAAGCCCTTTGGTTCTTACTTCTGCTTGTCTAGTGCTGTCACAAATTTCAGCTATTGCAATTAATAATGCAGCATATTTTTCTTTAATAGCACTTACAGCTTCTGCGTGGCAAGCCCATCTAGTTGTGGACATTGCTTTAATGTTTTAAGTTTTATATTGATAGTATTTGCTATTTTTTCTAAAATAGCATTTCTGGTAAAACTTCCTTCCACAAATGAATATATTAATTGAATATTTCCAAAAAAATTGAATGTTACTTTATTTCATATACTTTCCTCCAACCAAATCTACTAATATTAAATTTAAACAATGTCTATAGCAATGAACAAATAGTGAGTTTTTATTTTTTTCTTTGAATCTTGCTTGAACCCCTGACAAACTTCTAGACATTGTTGCTGCCCCATCAAAGCACACAGAAATAATTGATTCCCATTTTATTTCAAACTCATTGATTACATCCCCTAGTAAATTGAAAATAGCTTCTGAGTCAATTGACATAATTATTTTCATACAAACGAATTGTTCTACTGGACATTTTTTTAAATTATCAAAATACCCAATAACTACTGACAACTGTTCGTGGTGACCTATATCACTAGTTTCATCAGCAATGATCGATACTTTTTAATTTCTTATTTTTTCTCTAAACTGATTTTTAATGACATTACTAACTGATAAGATGAGGTCGTTTTGAATTAGATTGCTACAGTAAGAAGCATTTTTTGGTCCCGAATCTAGATGAGACTTTAATAATGGATCATATTTTGATAAGTGTTACAATATATTTAAATAAACCATTGTTAAAACTACTATCTTTTTCATTTTTTTCTTGAAATGGACGTCCACCAATACCTAAGCAAAGAGTTATATCTATTAAACGATTCATTATTTGTCTATTTTTCAATCTTTGTGACTCTTTTTCTGATCTAGTTTTTTCTCTATTTTCACCTATAATTACATCAATAGGCTTAGATTTCAAAAATTTTGTTAACGAGTTAGTACTATTTAAGTGAGTCTTGGTTAATTGATACTCTCTAAATTTGATTGTAGCATTTTTCCGATTATTGAACCCAACTTTAGAATAATTTACTTCTACATGACCAACATTAATACCGGATGAATTATTAAACAGCCGACATGGGAAACAAAAAACTCTGTCTGCTGTTATGCTGTACTCAAGCCATTTATACTGAACATACCAGGAACTATTGAAGCTGCGTTTTTTGTCGCCAAATTTTGTACGAGGATACACATTAAGTTTTGGTTGAAAAGATCTTGAATAATTCTATTTTTACGCTCTACTTAAGAAATCGGAACAACATTTACTGGACCATCAGGTTCTATGGATATCAACAATATTTGTAAATTTTATGCATTTATTTATATTATGTTTATATATTTTAAGCAAAGATTTAATTTATACTAAACTTTTATAATACTTAAAATACTTCTCATTTATAACCCTGGGAGTATTATTGTTATAAATATAACGAATATAACTGCAACCAACAAAAACATTGACCAAATATATTTACATTTACTACCACATATATTTATTAGCACACAAAAACTAACATAAACAATCAAAAACACTAAAACATAGGATTATTATCATTTATCACAAGCTTTTTAGGCATACGTATAGCAGGTGATCCATCGTATTATACAAGGTGTTGTTGGTGATCTACAATTATTATTACCTATTATTATATTATACTAATAATATACGCACATTGTCGTAGATCGCAGTGGGATAGTATTGCGATAACGATTAATGACATTTATGCCTTGTTAACACGTGACGAGTACTCGGTCATCACTCGTTATGTTGCTTGGTCTTGTACTGAAATTGACCGAATCAACGTCTACATGTATTTTATTTGCTTGGCTGAGTGATACATAATTTCTCTACCCTATCTACTCGATTGGCGGTTTATACACGCCGAGTACAGTTTTTATACTATTAACAGAATATTGAGAAACACGAGACCAAATGAAATTTTTTTGGCTGCGCATGATTAAGAGACCAATTATTCTTGTATAATTGAACTCTATAATTCTCATTGAAACTTATCGAACATTTAAACTTACATTTAGAACAATCTATCGCCAATGGTTTTTTTGATAGTTTTTTTTTTTTTAACAGCAACATTTATTTTTCATTTTTCAGGCTGCCCTCGCCTCCACCTCACTAAATTATTATACTTTTTTTGCTTCAACTTCAATTTCTTGTTCTTTTTTAATTTCTAAA